GAGAGGCTGATTCCAGAGAGTCAGAGGAACCCAGACGCCAGACCCCAGCTCCCTGACACTGGCCCCCAGGTCCTCAGCCTCAGACCCCTCCCACCCGAGAAGGCGTCAGGTCATGCTGGGGTTTGGCTCAGCACGGGGACAACAAATGCTGGCGGAGCTGTCCTGCCCTCTTCATTGTTCCCCAGCCTGGGAGAAGAGGCTGGCTCAAATTAGGGGGGCTAGCCCACACTGGACAAGGCGAGCCCAGCTGGGATGAAGCCCGCCCGGAGGGCCCAGGCTGAGGCAGCGTGAACAAAGCCCGCCCAGGTAGGACAGCTGAGCAGGAGACCCAGAGGCCAGGCTGGCCCAGACCGGCCCAGGCGAGCCCACTGCAGAGTGCCCGGTCTTGCCCCTAGCCAACCGAGAGGGTACTTGGGCCAGGCCCTCTGCCTGGACAGTCCCTTGGAAGAAACTGCAGCCCCTCTCTGGGTGAGCCGCCTCTTCCCCCCTCCGCCTGCCGCCTCTTCCCTCACCCCAAGGCCTCCCGGGCCACGGACTCACTGACGCAACGGCGCCCATGGTCAGAAAGGATGAAGCCAGCTGGGCAGAGGCACTGGAAGCTCCCAGGGCTGTTGGTACAGGTGCCGAAGAGGCAGAGTTTGGGCTCCTGCAAGCACTCGTCAACATCTGGAGGGGCAGCGGCACCAGTGGGTGCGAGGCAAACAGGACCTCCCCCAGGTGGGTGGGGGCAGCCCTGGCTCAGAAGGGCAGATGCAGGAGGTGGAGGCCCAGTGCGGGGAGCGGGGCAGGGCAGGGTCTCCAGGGCTCAGAATGGAGCATGGGAGGGTAGAGGGGAGCAAGGGGGGTGCCCTAGCAGATACCTCCCTCACCTGGTGTAAGGCCAGCCCAGATGGAAAAGGCCAGAGGTCAGGCCTTTTAACCTAATCCAGGTTAGCCCCCATGTTCAGGCCATTCTGGCCAGTTAGCCCAGACTGCACAAGGCCAGCTCAAGTGGATGAACGGAGCGGTTGTGGTCAGGCAGAATGTTCCATGTTAGCCCACGTTAGCTCACTGGCCGGGCTGGATCCCTGACCACCACTCATGGAGTCAGGCACTCTACATGTAGGTAATCCCAGGCCCACTTTATAGGTTTTGCAAGGAAGTCTTGGTGCCAGAGAGAGCCCTGAGTTGGGACTCCAGAACCACCCTAAGCATAGGCACCACGGACAGAGCGGTTTGGGGTGCTGGGCTGATGCATTCCCACCCTCTTCATGACCCCAGCTGCTATTTTCATGTCACTGATGGGGAAATGGCAGCCCAGAGGCACCTCCCTGGCCTCAGAGCTAGGAGAAGGGGCTGGACATTCACCCACGCAGTGGTCACTCTGCACCTGGAAGCCGGGGGGACAGATGCAGTGGAAGGAGCCTTCGAGGTTCTGGCAAGTGCCTGGCCAGCATGTTCCCGTGAGGCTGAGACACTCGTTGGTGTCTGTGGAGAGGAAAGGACCCAGCATTGTGGCTGAGGGCCCAAAACAAGGTCTCCTGGGGTGACCCTGGACCCAGACCGAGGGCTGAGACCCGAACAATGGGACAGCTGAAAGTGGATATTCTGCATCTGGAAGAAAGTCATGGGAGGAGCCAAGAGGTCTCTTGGGGGAGACAGAACAAGGCCCCTACTCCCGAGACACTGCAGACTCCAGCCATTTCTATGGCAGCCATTTTGCACCTCTACTATTTATTTTAAAAAATTTCTATTTTCAGAAGAGCCTCACACTAAATTATTCAGAAGTATTCGCTGCAGGAAAACCTGGAGCAGGAGACGGCTCAGACAGTTCCCAGAAACATGGCGAGACTCACCTGTGCAGTTCCCCCATCAGCTGCTGGCGAGACTCACCTGTGCAGTTCCTCCCATCAGCTGCTGGCGAGACTCACCTGTGCAGTTCCTCCCATCAGCTGCTGGCGAGACTCACCTGTGCAGTTCCTCCCATCAGCTGTGAGCTCAAAGCCAGGCCGGCAGAGGCAGTGGAAGGAACCAGCTGTGTTGAGACACTGGGCAAATCGGCACACCTGCCCTGCCAGGGTGGCGCACTCATCTATGTCTGCAGAGAGGAGATGGGCAGCAGGGTCACCCCACAGCACTGAGCGCTGAGCCTCCCTTGCATTTCTGTCCAGAACAAAGGTAAGGTGGTGGCAGTGACTTTTGAGTTTTTCGAGAACTCATGTGCCCGGGCTCTGTATGTTAACTTTCCAACTACCCTCTGAAACAGATTCCAATGTTTCTAATATGAGCACTTTAATGCTATGAATTTGCCTCTAGGTACTTCTTTAGCTTCACCCTGCAAATTCTGTTGTGTTTTCATGTAATTCAAAATATTTTCCAATTTCCTTTATGATTTCTTCCTTGGCCTAAGGATTTCCAGGTATTTGGGGATTTTCTGGATATCTTTCTGTGATTGATTTCTAGTTTAATTCCCTTACATTCTGAGGATCTACTTTGGGAGACTTTAATTCTTTTTAACTTGCCAATGCTTACTTTATAGTCCCAGCAGTAGATATGAGACACTCAAAACAAAGGGTCAGACAAAAACCAAACCAGTAACAAACTGAAGAACTCTGACTATGGAATTAAGACCACAAAATGGGGAGTGGGGAACAAGGAGGAGAGTGCACACAGTGGACTATAGTGGGGGGCAGATGATGTCTTGGTGGTGAGCGTGGTGTGGTCACATGCACACAAAGAGGGCTGATTCTATGCCTCTGAATCGGTGTTTTAAACCAAGATAACCTAATTTAAAGAATTAAAAAACATCAAAAAATTCACCCGTAATCAATACACCATGTCTATCTCTGTTCCTTGTTCAGAAGTCTGGTCTGAGAGCCATGTAGGTAGGCACTGCTACCAATGTCTGTTTTACAGGTGAGGAAACTGAAGCAGAGTTTTAGGGGACGAGACTCACACCACAGGCACAGCTGGGATTTGAACTCACGCCACCTAACTGTGGGAACTGCAGCTTAACCACGGCACTAAGTTGCGAACGACGCTTCCCGCATCTTGCTTTCACCTTCGGCCTGCTCTGCTCTCCACCCACCTCCCGTTAACCTGAACGTGAGCTTAGCGCATCTGGCAATCAAAGGGCCAGAGGGGACTCGTGGGCTCGTCTTCCTGGCGGGATCCCGGAGTGACACACTTCATTTTAGGAG